CTCCAACACAGTGTCGCTAGCAGTAGTGGCTTTGATGGCTTTTAGGCGTTGTGGCCAGACAGACAGTTCCTCCGTTACTTCAACAACTTGAATTTCTTGGTTGCTTTTCAATGTATGCTCGTCTAAGTGATTTTATCAATGTGCATTTCGGTACCACGATTTCGGACAAGTGCAGATTATAACGCTGCAATTTCAAGAGCATTCGGTGGAGGCGCAGAAAACAGCGGTTTGGAGAAACTTTAGACATGAAATCGTCGTGCGTAGATTTGGCAAAAAGAATTAAAAAAAAAATGAAGAAAGAAATAAAAGTTCCTTCTCTATTTGGGTTTAGTATAAATCTACTAGCGTTCTATCACGAATGCCGTTCTCTGATTGGCTACGCTACTCACTATCTATTCTGGGATAGATGGTGAGTAGCGTAGCATTGCGCCCATGTTAACAAAGTAACGGCCGCTTTTCGGCGTTTTCGAAGTGTTTGTGAAGAGAATTTAGATAAAGTTTTGAACGACTGGTAGATTTATACTAAAACAATTAGATTATTCGCTCTCACTTTCTATACGTGATAGTTGACTCGGACTGCGTCCTCGTCAACTATCGCGCGATAGAAATCTCGAGCTCATAATCTAATTGTTTAATAGTTGTGTTCGGTTTCTGTTGGTCAGGATTTTAAGCTTTCGTGGTGAGAGACATTTTACTTTTGCAACGGTTAGTTTGACCACAAACGTCTTTCCCCAGGGCTGCCAATAATCAAGACAAAATACTGGTCAGCGCGCTGGACTGTGGATCGAGCAGTCTGGTCCTAGAGGGGTTCTGTTCAAAATGTATTACGTTTGAATCTATATCTCTTTTTCTACAACTTAGGTGCAACCATTCTATCTGACAATCATTTAACATTTATTTTTCTATTTAGAGTGTCTGGCTGCTCTGGGAATGAAAAACTTTAAAATAACGCCCGCACAGATTTCAGCGTCCTCTCATTGGGACGAAAGTCTTGTCCCAAACAACGGAAAACTACTATTTATCATCTGTTTTACTTTTTAGAGTGCCAGGCTCCTTTGGGAATGGAAAACTTTAGAATAACGCCGACACAGATATCAGCGTCTTCTCAATATAGTGTAAATCATGCCCCAAACGTAGGAAGACTACACTACAAAGATAAAGTCGGCGCATGGGCAGTAGCAATGAATAACCTGAATCAGTGGATTCAAATCGATTTTGGAATTGAGACAACTGTCACTTATGTGGCAACCCAAGGAAGACATAATTCCGCGCAATGGGTGACCCAGTACAAGTTACAGTATAGCAACGATGGAAATGCATTTCAGGTTTTTAAACAGCGAGGAGAGAACACAGATAAGGTTAGAAGATATACTTAGCAAGACGATAACCACATGTGGGAAATCAGCTGGTCTGGGACACAACCAGATATACTGACTTGAAACATTACGCAAAGACTGTCTTGGTCGAACAACAAACAACCATCGCTAGAACTTTTCCCAGTTTTATTTTCTTCTGGTATTTGTTTTACCCTTGGAAGTCTGAATCAAAGCAGAGCGATGCAGTAAAGTAGAGGGGGATACAAGCACTTGAAACGTAATTAATGATTCATGAATTACTTTGTACTGAATTCCGAGCCAACTTTACAAAACTACACACCAACTTCACTTTGATTATCTCTTACGGCTTTCATATCTTTGTGAAAAATAGAGCTAATCAGAAAGCTGGGAAGCCATTGCATATCAGGCAGTATACATACGATAACCTTTATTCAAGATGCAAAAAATTACAAGATATGGATATTTTATGTACCAATAAGTAAGAATTACTTATTGGTACATAATAAATAAATAATCTTGAAAGGGAATTTAACATGCTAACCCTATAAGAAAATTTCCCTAGAAATAAAATCAATACAGCAACAGTAATAGTAACGTTATTACTACAAATATGAATTAAGATCCTTAATGAAACATTTAAGCATTTAAGTACATTTATGCTTGGATTTAAGTATTAAACTTAATGCAGAAGGTTCGGTAAACTGAAAAATATGTTAGGGGAGGCTCAAAACGCCTTTGAAATCTTCGCAAATAAGGGAGGTTTGAAATATCAAGCAAAAACTTCTCCCGAGTCGAAAGCATTACGTAACTCATATGTATTTATGTACGTGTCCCTGCAGGTGTTTATTGGAAGCAGTGATTCTGACACCGTGGTAAAACATCACTTAACTCCACCAATCAAAGCACGATACATCAGACTGATACCCACGGCATGGAATAACCACATCTCCATGAGGATGGAGCTCTACGGTTGTCTTGGTAACTGACCCTTTAATCCAACCCTTAAACTCAACAATGTCTAATTGTACATATCTTCATCCCAAGAGTAAAGCCTTTAGATTATTACAGCTGTGTCTACGAGATGTGGCAGAGGCACCCAACGGATCGTTTCGGTGAATTATCTGTTCGGAAGGCCCTTAATCCCCTCTGATTTTCTTAAGAGAATTGTCACCTAGAACTTTCGTGATATGAGAAATTTAATGTCTGTTGTTTCCGGATTGTTAAAAATGTCGTTTTGGGTACCGAAAAAAGGTCAGCTATCATTTTCGGAAAGGCGATAAGTCCTAAGGTTTTCGGGAAATGGACAAAAAAGCCTTAATAAATTCGAAAATACTAAAGTTCCCCTAGAATAACTGAACAGATAAAAATTAACCTACAGGGCTTTAAAAGTGCTCCAGCTAGCCTAAAACAGCGTTTAAAAGCATTCGAGAGAAAACTGCCGTTGGGTGCTCCTGATGTGGGTACTGGTCACGAAAGTCTTAAAGTAACATGCAGATCAACAAAAATCTCGAGTAAATTTCATGAGGCGATTAGCACGAGAAATATTTTAAGATCTTTAATATATAAAAATGGGTTTGACACTGGCCTTAAAAACGTCGAAACAAACGTTTTGTTGAAAACACTAGAAAGACGTTTCGACCCAAAAACTTCGGTCTTCATCGGTTGTGAATGGAAAAAGTGTAACAATACGTTATATAAAAAGGTCCAAAATTATGCAAATATGCCAAATATTATGATGAATCCTTGTTGCAACTTGAGTAATTTTCGTATGGTTAACCTCTGTTTCGTTTCCCACTTTCACATAATACTAACTGCTAGAATTGCCGGTTTTCATTTGACGTCATCACTTTACAAAATTAAAAATTACCAATCCCTCTGAAGTTTTAGTTTCATCAAATATGAGGCCCTCTAAGAACTTGACGTTTTACAACGTTTAAAGTGCCTATGAAGTAAAAAATAATTGCTGCCTATCTGAAAGGGTTTTCAAAGTAAAGAAGAATGGCGTTTTCCTTTTTGGAATATC